AGTAATGGTGGTAGTGTTTGAGATGTTTTGTTCGACCGAAGGTGGGAGAAGGGGGAGAACAGGTCACCAAGGTTGGGTGGGATGCTCCAGACGTTGGAATACTTTTTTTTCGAGAACTATGCCGCTTAGAGGCTGCAGAACATGTACCTATCAAGCACAGAATAAAGCGCAACAGTGCAAGCAGACGAAATTGAATTAGGTTTGCAACTCCATGTGGCCTTCAGCAACCTCCAGTAACGTTGAGTCAGATAGTATAGTTCTCTTGGAGTTCCCAGGTTTATCTATATCTTGCTCATAAAGTTGTTGAAAAAGATGGCTGATCAGTATTTTAGACGTGAAGTGGCGATAAGACATGCGCTTTTTGGAAGGATCGGCTACAATTCTTGAATAGGCAGGTTGGAGAGCAGATTCAGTAGCGATCTCGATGCCGAGTCAAAAGAATGCTAGTAAAAACCAAAACTTCCCCAGCACGGGGTGATGATAAATAGGATTGGAGCGGTAGTAACTTCTATAGGGCGTTCCTCACTTCGAAAAAAATTCTAACCAAAGACGAGTCAGCAGGAATCTGGAACAAAGCAGAATTGTTATGGCATTGAGTGAACATCACCTCTGCTTTCATATAATGAGCTAGACGACCGGAAAACATATTATGAATGCAACAGAAGAATGGCTTGAAGCGTTTACAGCAAAACTAATTGGCAGCTTCGACTACGATTAGAGGTAAGCCATGTGCATCGAAATAGCATGATCGGTTTCCTAAGATACTGTTTACTTCATAGCTACATGACACAGCTATAAATGCTTCCCCATGCAGATCTCCAGGGAGCTAGCAGGGGCTTTCCTAAACAATACCAGGGTGCTCTGCTGATTCAGAGATTGAGAAATTTTTATTGAAAGCTTCTCCCAACCCTCTCTTAGACAGACATATTGCCAAAAAGAATTACATTCAATTACATGAAACTGCAAAATAGATGAAATAGATAATTTCAAGGTTTTATGAGGTGTTCAAGCTTGATTGTTTAAGGCGGTAATCGTAATACTACGGCAATTTCTTCATTGATTTCATACATTGGAAGCTGGGTAAGATGAAGGGGTCTCAGCTAGCAGTAGCCAGCTAATGCACAAAACAGTCCTTTTATCCTCCCAGACGAATCTGACACAAACTAATCGAGTCACGGAGGTAAGGAAGGCTTGCTCTCCTCAGGCGATCTGGGAGCCGATCCCTTAATCGTGCGTGGGTGGTAGTGCGCCACCTGTGATTGCACCACATCCGCTTGGAAATTAACTAAAATACTAAAAAGTTTTCAGTTCTGAAACCCTTTCTCGAACTTGTGATTGCACCACATCCGCTTGAAAATGAACTAAAATCCTAAAAACTTCTCATTTCTATTTCTGTAAACAACTTGCAACTGGGACATAAAACTCGTAGTGGGGTACGACAGACAGAAAGGGAGCGTGGGGATGGTGAAGGAGGTTCAAACGAATAACATAATGGTGGACTCAAATACATTGGAGGATAATCTGAAAATAGGTAGAACTAGTGGTATCCGCAGCCAACGAAGAGGTTCGATACAGGTCTCAGTGGTACACATCTGGCGTCATCTTAGCATGACGAGCTTAATCCAAAGATATTTTACACGGCTTTTCTCCACCTGTTGAATAACTAAAGAAGACGGCTTGATTGCATCCATCGTTCAAAAAAAAANNAAAAAAAAAAGAAATATGGCGTCGAAAAAGAATCTGAGAAAAACCTCTGTCAACTACTTCCAGTGCAGACGATATGAAAGAATCATGCGCTGGAATGGCATGGGTTTGCCACTAAGCTCGCCTTTTTTTTCATGTCATTTCAAAGTTCGAGCGGAGGTGGTGTATGACACGTGGTGCACTATCTCACACCCATGATCACCGATTCGAATCCAATATCGATATCTGCCTGAGCCAACCGAGCCTTCCATCCCATCTGGGTCGGTTGATTGGTACCAGAGCAGTCTGGTAGGATGAAAGCACTGAGATGTACATCGGCTGGCCACCGCCAGCCATTGTGTAGGCCATATACGCATTCAGTTCGCCACTACGATTATGAATGGAAGTCGAATGGGTGGATGCATCCCTCAGATGGGAGAAGCGATCAACGCGAGGGATCTTATCCTCTATCCTTTATTTCAATATTCACATTCTACATAATTTATCGCCTATTTTATGTTAATATGACCTTAGGTTTACGATTTGCCTAGCTGTTTTGAAATGCGTCGTTGTAATAAACCAATCAGTTCGACGGATTGATCCTAGCTCAGTAGAGCTTGACGGAGGGCAGTCTGCCAGTTAAAAGGATTCTCCCTCAGGCAACTTAGTGAAAACGAAGCCAATGTATTCAGTTCTAAGTAGTTCCTTGTCTATGAACATCCAGCATAAGTCTTAGTGTAATGGTCAGATCATGAATTTTCAGGTAGTTTACGTTTGGGTACGTCCCCTCCTCTGCATAAAGTCGTGAGAATGCAGGTTCTTAGCTAATACATCCTCGTAAGACGTAAACAAAAGTTGGAGACTCTGCACACTGAGCAGGGTTAACAAATTCGCGGAAAACCAGGAAGTACTGAATTTTAAATGGCGACGTGTCTAACGTAAAGCATAGAAATGGAGAATAGTATGCTGACGCAGCTCTGATCATTCTATTGGGTAATTAAGTAAAAAGGTTCGGCTTGATTAATGTATGAGGTATGTACCAGAATCATGAACACACGATAACAGACATAAAATCGTGAAATACGAATGTCATACTCTCAACAACAGATAAGGACGTTGATAGGGAAATATGGACTGCACAGAATTCCGATTGTATATGGTTAACGTTGCGAAACGTTGTCGACGGTTTCAGTTAAGTTAAAAATTGCAGGCTAAATTTGAAATGTACGCTCAGAATATCCCTACAGAACAACTAAAAATAAGTTTTGAAGCTTGGAGAGCTGATATGAGCATTATCGAAACGAAAAACCTACAGAATGCAACTAATTAGGGCCTAATGACCAATCAAAACACCCTCCTGTCAATGGAACCTCATAAAGGGCGTTCTAGATGAGGTAGCGGTAATGATGCATGCTTGTGATGTGGAGCTTCGTCTCATAAAATCAGCTTCGTTCCTTGTAGAAAACAAAATGGAGTTAAGGCTGTTGTTGTCAGTTGTTTACTCACGCAATCGCTCTTCACATTCAGCAGTAAGGTAGAAGCGCCCCTCCTTGTCCCTGAGTCGTCCCATCCCCTTAACAACGTTTCTTATCATTTACCGGTTTGTTACGCTTAATTTTTTTTCTTTCCCAGTCGATAGATGTACCCAAAGTCCTTTTCATCATTCAATGATAAATCTTTCATGAAAGTGCTTGTTCTGAGCGCTCTGATTCAAACAAAGCAAAAGAGATGAATAAAAGATAAGATGCAGAAGTGGTAGAGTGGAAAGCGGCGCACCATCACACATGCATGGTCACAGGTTCGAATCCCGGATCAATATAAGCTTAGACCATGCAAGCCTCTCACCTCTCCGGAGTTAGTTAATTGGTTTGGGACCCGTCTGGGAAGATAAAAGCGCTGACATGTACATGGGCTGACCATTGGAAGTCATTGTATAGGCCGCATTCGCATTCAATACGCCACTACGTCTGAATGGAAGTGGTATGAGGGGGCGCACCACTCAGACTGGATTAATTAATGCCCGAAGAGTTTATGCTCCATCCTAAAGATCTTAAAGAAGAAATGGTGCTGTGGCAAATAGGGCACTACCACTCACAAGGTCTAGTGATCGATCCTTGGCTTGACATCCGTTCAAGCCAGCCTAGCCTTTGAATACAGGGAATATACCAAAAGTGGGATCAATTGACGTCAAAGGGTTCTCATTCTTCGTCCTTTTCAGGCTTTTTTTTAGGCTGTCGGAGATTCCTATTATAAAACCCATTGAAACCATCTATCAGTGCAGAAAAAAGAAACCAATGTCCAAGATAAAAACCAAGAAACCAATAGTAGATATGAATGCGTCCACTAGGGATCTGTCACGCACACCGATTATGTGAAACGGCTATGTTAGAACGAAAGACCCACAGCCGATATCGTAAGGGAATTTCCAAGCGGATAATAGAAACAGGTTTAATTAACACTTGCATTCTACAATCATTTCTCAGCTGACTCTGTTTTAAGAAATACAGTGAGCGCTTGAGTACAGGTTGTATAGACGATTAATCATAGGATCTGATTGTTGGAACTGCCTATTAACTTCCACTTTAGTCCGCTAGTCATAAGCTACCTTACTCCAGAGTACTTTCCGTGTAAAGATGAAAATATAGAAAGACGAAATGGTACCTTGTAAAGGTGAGTTCACAAGAGGAGTGGATTGACAACTTACTTTTCTGGACTCTTAGCTGTGGGAGACTTCAGGTTGCACAGCTGAGACGATAGGATAAACTCGTTAGCATTATTATTCCCGATTGAGCGAGTTCCCACCCACATTCGCTTTACATCCGGAAACTTTGAAATGCGGGCTTTCTCTACTACGAAACTCCTGCTTCGAGCAAGATTCTGAACTATTGTCCTCCCAGATGTGTATAGTCTCAATAAAGCGGCTTTGGAGAGATGGAGGATTTGGTTAGCCTGGTTGGATATCGACTCGGGACTCGATCATGGACCTAGCGAGTGTGATGCACACCTCTTCTCACTAAACAACGTCGACGTAACTAAGATATCGAAGATAATTATTAAAGCGTCAGGCAATAATGGACAAGTAAAAAGTGCTCGTAACTAACAATAAGATTATATTCAATCAAGAAGTTCCACGCATTTGGAAATCATCAAATATTTTTCCTAAAAGAACTTGGTTTGTACTTCGCTTATTTACTAACAGGTCATTTCCATTCCATACTCTGTTGATGACATTTGAATAATAGCCTAAACATCCTTGAGCTCATAACAATTCTTTATGCAAGCCAGAAATAGGCACTACTCAGATCCACATATGATGAATGAAAGGAATAGTCAACATCGTTAACATTCAAAATGGGAAACGAAGTAAACCGCAAGGAAAGACTAGTTCTCTGATGCTTAAGGTGTTTTTCTTGAAGTTCGAAATCCTATGTTAAGACATTAAAGTTCAGACAAGTAAAGCGGAAAACCTTCATGGGTCGTGGCTTCTGTTGACATAGCTACGTAATCCTTGAAGGCGGATCGCCTTTTGTGGGTTGGCTCATTGAGAGCAATATCCGTGACGGGACGTGATTCAGTAGCATCACAGCGTAATTTAGGGTCAAGAAAATGGGAAAGCTAAAGGTCATAAGCACAAAGAGAAGTGCTACAAGGCAAAGGTGGGTCGGAGTACTATGTATTATTCAGTGCACTCGTCATTCTTAAGACTTTTATCTGGTCATGTAGTCATCAATATTGTGAGAATATTCGACCAATTTGAGGATTGTGGAAGTTGGTTAGAGTACTTAGCATCTGATCCGATCCATCCTGGCAAGTAAGAGATTCGAGTCTCAACAGTGCAAGTACAAGGTCAATCAGCACTCACAACTGATAAAAAAAGGTTTCAATAACAGTGGGACTAGCTTGTTGATGCCTTTGCCTGTTCTGAATTACTCAGTGTCTCGAGTCGACGGAAACAATCCTGACTACAACTCAAAAACTAAGTTTATCACAACCTTCAACCTTCAGTAAATATCAACTAACCACTGATCAAAGGCGTCAAACAACACAAAATTACAAGAAGAGTGTAGCCAACAAATCGTGCTGCTACCACCTAAACTGGATTGCGCTAGAAAGACCAATATTTGCCGATGTCCCCTAATGAATGGGCTGCGATTTTTGCAATGCAAACATATCAATTGCATCCTCTTGACCACGGCTAGCTTCTTTTCCACATTTGCTCAGTTTGCCTAGCCCACTTCTTCATTATTCTATGTATATATGAGCAATAAGGATCCTCGGTGGCAATTATGATTATTACTCTTTTGTGTCTGGAGCTATTCGATATGACAAGTGCTCAATGGGGTTTTAACCCTTTCGGTGGGCCTGGACCAGGTATGTACATCCATTACCTCATTTGCCTAATTGCTTATTAGAAATCGGCAGCACTGATTTGTCAAAGAGATGATCTGAAGGCTTTAATTAGAAAAGGACCTAGTAAGCTTTTACTCAACTGTAGCCGATTCCATAAGAGATAGAAACCTTGACAAATTTAAAAAATTGCTCAGAAGCCTAGAACGCGTAGCACTATTCTGCGCTTCATATCCGGAGGCAGGATAAAAACCATGAACCGGTGAACCTGTGCTGTTAACAATTTTTTACTAATATTTCGAAACAAGACTAGAAAAACTTCGGAAATTTGAGTGGGTGCCCATATCAATTAAGCTGTACTCGGTGGAGCGATTCATTTTTGGGGAGCTGCGGTTCGGTGGAGAGCAGAGGCGTCAAAATGAGTAGTACGCCGGTGAGAAAAAAAGCAAAAATACAAAAAAAATCCAAAAAAAAGTTTCCACTGTCTACCAGGTAGGGCCGTATTTTGAAGGGGACATTCTTGCGCCTTTTCTAGGCAGCATGTTGCGACAATACTTCCAATTTGCTCTTCTCGAGCAGAAGTTTCATCCTCCGCGATAGAATGCAGAGTCTTCAGTTCCGTTCCCTTGATAGGAAATCATTATAGCTATGATATCTGTATAGAATGCAACTATGGCGCAATCTTGTAAATGTAGGACTACATAGTCTCTGGCCAAACGCTCTTACGCTTTTTCGTTCATAATTTTTTTCCTCAGTGGAGCAAATCGCGCGAAATTTCGGTATGTTTAACTAAAGCATATTTCACAATACTCAACATTGTCTAACTGCAAAGCAGTAACATCCACATACCTAGAGGAGGGTGTTTGTTGCGGTAGCAGGTTTCGCTAAAAGCAAACTCAGTAAAGTCTGCAGCTATTCGTACCTTAGGTGCGTTTTTCTCTTTCACTGTGTTCGGCATTAGCGCTCGTACACTTGAGACATCGCAAGAAGGAAAAAGTTCCAGAAGGATCATCATCCGTATTTCCTGTTGAATTTGAGTTCAAGCGCTTTGGGATATCTGGAACATGATAAGATTGCAGGTTGTTAGTTGTAAATATTCACTATGCATCAGTGCTACACATATCGAAATTTCGCATGATTAGATCAGTAGGAAAGGGATTACGCTTGGGAATCACAGCTGAAAAAGAATTTGGCCAAAGACTTTTGAGCGCTACTGTATGTCTTNTGTCTTTGCTGTCTGAGAATGCGTAAAGTAATGGCACGCAAACAACAATATTGGGTAAATCTAATAAGTATCATTAACATGTCGTCAAGCAAAATAGGATTCCAAGGTATTCAAAGGTCCAGGCTATGCACCTTAAGAATTACTCGTGGAAGCCTGAAAATGAGGTTTTATTGCATTAACGAAATTCCAATTATTCACTCCGCTTCAGTGCCACCGTATCCGCCTGGCAATAACATTGGTGTCGGCTATCCAACCGCATACGGTCTGTGGTTTGGACGAGGGAACTGGGTAGGTTTCCAGTTTTATGTGACCTCAAACAAATTTTAAGAGCTGATTGAACAAAAACAAATAAATTTTCTTAAATTCCTAGCATTACTTATACGCTGACATTTTCAATTACGATCTGTTTACACATACGTACGGGCATCGAGCTGGAAATATTTGTGACACCTCAGTTCAGTGAATCGTAAGAACCGAGTCGCAAGTAAACATTCCAGTTTTGAGAAATGAACCAGATTTCAAGCGACCCGTACGCACTGGCTTAAACTGTTAAGGTTCATGATCAGCGAGCATGACACAGTATAGCCCAATCCCACGTGAGATATACCAAGCATTCTGTTCTACTTTTCGAAATTACAGTGCTCTTCGAGCGCTTATTTGGCTTATAACGTTTAGAACCAGCCATATGTTCACGCCAATTCTGTCTTCTTTCTAGCCCAATGTGACGCCAGTTTGACGGCCCTGGTTTGATTTAGCTTCGTTTCTGGAAGCGACCTACTGATTATACAGTGCATTTCATAAGTATAAGATCACCCTCGAATTCGGCATTTACAGGATAAGCAGCCAAGCACATACAATCTTTCTGGCTCCACCTTTCTGGCTTATTCTTCACCTTTCTTCTTCACCTTCAATAGCCCCCATATATATGCTTTGGTTTGCGCAACTTCTATATTGACATTTATATAGATTATTTTCGATTTTTCCACCGTCTCACAAGTATAAGATCACCCCCGACAGCTCGAAAGTTTTGAAATCGCGAAAATGCAGCGGAATTTGCACTTGGAGGGATCTCTATAGGAGAGAATGTGTCGCAAACATGTTCAAAAGCAATATGCACTTTGCCTCGAGTAGGTCATCTTTCTTTGGAAGAAAGAGCACAAAATCGAAATTTTCGTGATACTGAGATCAGTACGAGGGCAATTAGGAAGAGAATCGTGAGGTCCCTCAGCTTCGTTCCAAGACATTTGAAGACTGCAGAGCCCCCAGGACAGGATTGCTGCGCAATCTAACCGCTAACGACGAGAGAAGATTCTAATTGTAAGAGCTATTTTGAACAAAACCTTGTCTGCGTGCTGTGTTGAACCCGGTTCGATCGGAGTTGGGTTTCTCGGTGTCCAACACTACTGAACGGAGAGCCGTGAAAAAGAGCAGCAGCATTGTCAGGGCGGCAATGAAGAGGGCTCCGAGGCTTACCTACCACCACAGGAAGGCACGACTTAAATTCGCGAAGTTGAATTTTTTATGAGGTTGGACGAGCCCGTATTACCGATTAGCCATACAATCCAATATTCTCGATCAGGTCGTATTTTTCGATGAAAATAAGGTTAATTTATGGGGCCTCGATGGCTACAACTACTACTGGCATGACTCATGAAAAGAGCCGATCAACTCTAGTCCCCATCTGAACCTGATGGAGAATCTGTGGGGCATCATTGTAAAAAATTTATGCAACGAACTGTCAGTTCCATCCTATAGAAGAGCTCAAACAGGCAGTACTTGAAGCTTGGAGTGGAACCTCTGGCGAATTCTTTCGGAACTCTGTTTCGAGTATGCCATGTAGGCTATTCGATATGGGCTAGAACAAGGAAGACCCATCGACAACCAAATGTTTTTTGTCGTTACTAACGATAGTTTTTTTTCAATTTCTCAAAGTGATCTTATACTGACGAAACGGCGCAAAATTCAAAAATTATTCATAAAAATGTTATGATAGAAGTTGATCCAGAAATTGCCCGTGCGTGAGGGTTATTCAGGGTATTGAATCTGATAGCATTGCCCAAAACTTATCTGCTTGGATGCTTATCCTGTAAACACTAAAGAGGGTGACCTGAACTTATGAAACGCATTGTATGTAGTTGGCGGCGCTGCTCGCCCTACCTCAAAAGGATCTGTTAGCAGAATAAGGAAAAGTAGCAGAAGCCAGAGCAGTAGTGAAATTTCATCTTTTTCTCAGGCCAATTCTTTGGCGAGTACCATCCGATGTTTGAATGGAGGTGCTCTTATTGGACAGTGTCGTGTTGATGACGATGTCATCTGTATGGCTCTTGGTGGTAGTTGTATACAAAGAGGATGTTGTACAACGCCATTTCTTGGTCTCACCACAACTACCACGACTACTGTACCACCAGAAATCGACGGGGAGGTTTGTACGAATTTTCACCTTCTTCATCTACTGTAGGCTTAGTTCGAATAGAGGAATTTTCAATGACTCTTTTCAGGCTACAAGAAAAGAAGGCGGGTATCACACACGTATACCACCAGCAGTGGAAGGAAGTGTAGAAAGGAAAGTAGGTGAAGTTGATTTTTGGTGTCTGGTATATGAAGGAAGAAAAGTAAGCTGAGATATTTTAAGAAGATATTCGAACAAAGGGTACGTTGAAGTATGTACAGTTGCCACAACCGGATCTCTCCAGTGTATGAAACCAATGATTTTCCTACGTTTCTTCCACTAGTTTAGGGTATGGTAGTTATTTATGCTGCAAGGGAAATCACCCCTTCCCTTTGTGTACTTAAAGGCACACACAGTTCACAATAAGAATGGTTTCTGAGACTAGTATAGTATGAAGTCGAAGCCTCCTTATACCATACCTGCCGTTATAAGGTCGAAAAACGTTATGGATAGGGCACAATATGGGGGCAGAAATTGTATCGTGTGAATGCCGCACCCATGTGGACGAGTTTCAACGGCTTCGTAGAGACTGCACTATCTCAAGGTCCTCCCATGTAAGAAGTTCTAACAACTTGTCATAATCCATGACGACAGTGAAAGGTAGTTTCGGCCAATTCCGGCTTGACGTAGTCATCTCTTTGAGCAATGTGAGCAAATTAAATCTCGTCCAAACACCCCATCATGCCATTACCGTCACGGTGATCTCGTACAACCTTCACTTCCACTACTTTCAAAAAGCCTTAAAGTAGGCAGAGTTTCTTGCTCTTTTCCGCCACCAATGACTTCTCTCTATCAACACTTCCACTTTTCTACCTTAAAAGGAAACCTCAAAATTATCGTGAACTGTGCCTTTAATAACAACCATAATAGGTAGCTGCATTTATTCAACTGCATAAGGCAAGAGGTTTCAAAGTGAATTGCTTTCAGAATAACCTGTTGGAAATAGAAGAGCTGCTCCGAGTTATGGAGAGCATGAGAAGTACTATCAGCCCAACTTCAATAGAAGCTGTTAAGGTAAACAACGGCTTCGATCGATATCTGAACATCTTTTCTTGGCTAAGCGAGATGATATTACAATAAAAAGACTGAAATGGAATGAAGTAGGCTTCTGAATAACTTAGAACGATCTGCCTTTGATGTTCAACAAGCCGGCAGAGCGGCTGTATAAATATTGCCTTATTCTCTTATGTCCAAGTTTGTTCTTACGAGCCAGTGTGTTTCTAAGCAAATCTCAGAGAAATAAGCTGTCGGAAGTAATTCTGAGAAACAGCTGCCTCCTTGATCTAACCACGGAATAAATAAATCCTCCATTGAATGCTGCCTGGGGTATGAACATCTGCTCGTGGCAAAGCAGAGCGAGAGCAGCAGCAGGGAGATCCTACGCATAACCCTGTATCTCTTCGGATCCTTCTAGAGTTCGGGTTTGTCCATTCCTTGGTGATTGCTGCTGAAGCGAAAGCTATAGGAATTTGGATTAATTCTTTAAGTAATTCTCATGTATCACGGTGTATTCTGAGACAATGATTTTGAGATTCTTCATCTATCACTTGGAACCCTTCTTTCTTTCTTTCTTTTACTTTTTATAAGATAGGTTTTCGTTCTTTCCTTCTTACAGTGTATATAAGAGAGGTTTTCAGAATAATTTTTTATCCTGAGACTTAAAATCTGAATTATTAACTACTTGCAAATGCCTGGTGTTTACTATGCAATTATTTGTTACAGCTTTGTCTGCCTAGCGATGGTATCTGTGTTACGGATGATGACTGTGCGACTTCACGTCGATGTAAAGAGGGGTGTTGTTATGGGGAATAAAGTTTGCATCCACTGTGATTCATCTTACTTGAAGACGTACGCCGTGTTAATCATAAGAAAACCACTCATTTCTTCTTGGGCAAAATATAAAGTCTTGTTCTTAAGTCTTCGGGGTTAATCAATCCGTCTTATTGTTAGAGGCGCCCACGCAATCGGCCTCCATTCAGAATCGTAGCGACACATTCTCATCTTTCTGCAAATTTTTTCGGCATTTAATATTTCAGAATGCTTTGCCGTGCGGGTTTGTTATGATGGAACCGTTTATTAGGCCGACGTTTCGACTAACTAGTCGTCTTCAAGGACCTGAAAGTAGTTCGGAGCTCTTGGTCTGTGGCTTTCCTGACCAAGCGCCCAAACGCACTAGGCCAATTCCAACTACTCTCAGAAGCTCAAACGCCGAAACATCCCTGCCAAGAAACCAACCTTCTGCGGTTCCACCAGCGTTGTCTTCCCACTCTATTTCGTGAACAATAAGGGAACAATGAGACACCATTGACGGTTGTGAGATAAGGCTGACTTTGTCTGATATAAACGGAAGGCGGACATGCAACATATTCTCATGATTTCTCAGCGGGTGCCCTTTTGAGCCTGACTTTCTCTGCTTTGTCCCGTAGCCATTCAGGTTTGCAATCCCAGATGCTAGCTTACGTGACTCCTCCCGTTCCACTTCGCCTGTACACACTCCTGTAGCTGTTCTGCACATGTTTTGAACAACTGCACGTTTCACAGCTTCAGGATGAGCAGACTTTGCGTGGAGTAAGATGTTCTTAGAGCTGTTTTTTTGATACCATTTCACATTGTACCTTCCACTTGAGATGTTTATCTGCGTGTTAAAGGCACTGTTGACAAAAAAGTAAGGGTACCCTTTTTTTGACGGGAATAGATAGAACTACTCTAGAATAAAGCGATAACAACGAAAAAGCGCAAAAAAACGAGGAACAA